ATATGAGAGATCTGAGTGAGGACACGCCCCCCCAGCTCCCAGCTCTGCCCTTCCCTTCCAAGATGTCCCATTATTGTCACAGTTGAGGGATCTCCTTGAGGCAGGTGGCCTTCTGCTACCTACTACCCCTACCCTAAGACGAGGAGGGACCCATCATGGTCATCATGACCAGCTGGTATACTATGACTGGGGGCCAAGGGGAACACTAGACATGGGTTCAAGCTTCCTGGGTTCCTTAAGGATCTGCCAGCCAAGGTTATTTCCCCAGAGATGGACAGGATGGTGGGACAAAGAAAGGCCAGGTAGTCTAAAAGAGGCGGGCCAGGCCAGATAGTTGCGGAGTGGCTGAAGGGATCCCAAAACCTCCTAGTCCTCAGGCTGTCCCTGAGGTATCCCTTCTTTACGGCTTGTCATGTGTAGCCTGTATCTCTGCCTTTGTGTAGCCTTCACAAAGCCCAAGCTGTACTCGTTGGGGTCACAGCAGAAGCCCTTGGGCATTAGGGTGTACAAGGAAGTCTGTTCCTTCTGCTTCTCTTGTGGCTGCGGAGCTTTTCTTCCTACCATGGGAAACACAGCCACACAAACCTGCTTCCTGTTTCCCAGTGCTTGCTTGGGGCCCAGCCTCTGACTTGCCCTGGAGTACTCAGAGGCCTAAAGCCATCCCTGGACTCCTTGGAGATATGCAAAGGAAAGGTTGTGTATCCCAGAGACAGGTGAGCAGGAGAGCTCATCCCAGACAGAGAGAACACCGACGGATGCCTCCAAAAAGAACGCTGTCAAGTCCAGCATGGTGAATCAGTGACTTTATTGTGGTTACTTGCAGAGGCATGGGGTGTTTCAAAGAGGTGAGATCATGGGGGAAGTTCCCCCGGGGGACTTACAGGCAACTATGACACTGAGGAGGCGTCCCACTCATGACACAGATAATACAAGACAAGCAACACTCCGATGAGGCCCTGCACAACTGTCAAAACTTAAAATAGCTGCACCAGGCAAAGACCAAAAGAAGCATTTCCTTTTTATATGACCGAGGAGGAAGGACAGGGTGCCGGCTCCTGAGCCTGCCCCTCTCTCTGTGAGGGAGTGCCAGTTGACCTCAACTCCTGAGGGCCCCGGGCAGCTCCATCACAGCCACACTAATCCAAGATGGCAGCCACACTCAGCAACAACAGTATCAAACACTTCCACACGTCTTTTCTGGGGGCCGTGCAATGTGCAGGAGTCAATGGCCTCAATCTGTCACCCCAGCACCCTTCCTGAATGGCATCCACCTTGAGTCCACCCCGAGAAGAGGCTCTGAGCCAGATGAGAGGACTCCCCGAGGAAGGGCTGAGCCCCGTGGTCCTCGGGTTTTCCTCCCACATCTGGTAAGGTGATGGGCATCGGGAACTTGTGAGGGAGTGTTGATTCACTGGTACCTCAGTGCCCTGTGGTGATTTTCCGTCCTCTGTGTCTTCCTATGTGTCTTCGGGCTGGCTGTTGGTCAGGGTTATTTGAGGGGAAAGACATGGCAGGAATGGGCTCAGACCAGCTCCTCTTTGTAATAATAGTTCAAGGTTTCTCTCTGTTCCAAGGAAAATGGCCTCTTGGAGATGATTCCCAATGCATCCTCCTCCCCATTAGATCTGCTGTCCCTATTGCCTTCCACTAAAAGTAAAGGCGTTTCCTCACGGGAGGAGATGAGTCTAGGATATTAAGGGGCATTCATATTCAAGTGTCCTCATGATCACTGCACAGCTCGTTCCCACAGATGGGCTGTCACTGCTGACCTTTAACACGGGCCGCAGGACCTCTGTGTGTGCGTGAGTGTGTGCAGGTGTACACACCTGCGTTTGTGTGTGTGAAAGCCAGAGGAGGGTGTCCAACGTCTTCCTCCCTTGCTCTCGGCGCTATTCCCTTGAGCATCTCTCAGTGACCCAGGAACTCAACATATTTAGACTAGACTGTTGGCCAGCAAGCCCCAGCAATCCTGTGTCCCTGTCATCCTCACACTGGAGTTACAGATGCAGGTTGTGGGACTCAAGACCCCCCACTCTGTAATAAATTAAAGAGACGAGTGAAAGTGAGGCAGTTTGTTTTGTTCTGTGTTTGTCCCTATTTTGAGACAGGGTTTCTCTGTGGCTTTGGAGCCTGTCCCGGCACTCACTCTGTAGGCCAGGCTGGCCTCAAGCTAACAGAGATCCACCTGTCTCTGCTTCTCGAGTGCTAGGATTAAAGGCGTGCGCCATTACTGTCCGGCTAGGCAGTTTCTAATACTCTGTAGAGCGGGACAGCAGCGTGGATAAAAGGCAAAGATGGCTGGTGCACCGATTTGGCATAAAAAGCAGTTTCTAAAGTCCCTGATTCCAGTCCCCATTCTATAGGCTGGTACTCTGACAGTTCCAATCTTCACATTCTTCTAGTACAGCCCCTCCCCAAGCCCCCGCTCTATCGGTACAGGATGCAAAGCCTTATCCAGTGAGTACCTGGGGCATGAGACTTCCCCCTTTTCTGATCCTGAGCTCATTCCCTAGCAACTTCCCAACTCTCAGAGTTCCGAGACAAGCAGGCATTGTCTGCCAGCTGCAGGGAGAGGAGGCTAGCTTCATCTGTGTACCTGTGGCTTTCTTAAGAGCTCTGAGCAGACCTCATACAGAGACTGGCCATCAGGATTTGTTTCCTTTTTTTTTCCTTTTTTCTTTCTTTCTTTCCTTTTTTTAATTTTTTTGGAGACAGGGTTTCTCTGTGGCTTTGGAGGCTGTCCTGGAGCTAGCTCTTGTAGACCAGGCTGGTCTCAGACTCACAGAGATCCACCTGCCTCTGCCTCCCAAGTGCTGGGATTAAAGACGTGCGCCACCAATGCCTGGCCAGGATTTGTTTCTTATAGTGTCACCATGTCCAGATTTCTACTTGGGTGCTAGAGATCCAAACTCAGGTCTTTATGCTTGTACATTAAGCATTCTTAGCCACTGAACCACATTCCAACACCACCACCTTCTTGAGCCTGGATTTTATGTAGCCTGGGCTAGCCTCAGACTCGATAGCCAAGGATAACCTTGAACATCTGATCCTCCTGTCTCAACCTCTCAAGAGCTGGGATTACAGGTCCGTACCATCACAGCCAGCTTACAAGCCATGGGTTTTTCTCAACCTCACCCAGACGCGTGTGAACCAGCTGCACGAGTGCCTAGTCTCATTTTTTCTCTGTCTACCCAGGGTGTTCAAGCGCACAGCCATGCCTGTTGGGTCATAGGACACCTGTGAATCTTACAATGATCAGGCTAAGCAAACCACCCAACAGGACCCCTCTTCTATGTGTTCATGTTTAGTACAACAGCATCAACAGTATAAGTGACCTTGTTAGCTTCCGCTGTCACCTTGACACAGCCCAGAGTGGTTGTCTGAGGGGGTCACAATTGGGACACTGCATGGATACAGTTGATGGGAGGCCATGTCTCTGAGGAATTACCTTGGTTTTGATTGCTGTGGGAGGGCCCATCTCTTTGTGGGTGGTGCCATCCCTGGGTAGGTGGTCTTGGGCTGTGTGAGTTAGGGAGTTAAATGTGAGGCTGCGAACCAGCAAGTAAGCAGTGTTTCTCTCCATGGTTTTTCTGTTTCTGTTCCTACCCTGACTTCCCTCAGTGATGGATTGTCACCTGGAAGTATAAGCTAAACAAAACAAACCGGAACAGAACAACAAAATATAGTCTGTAAATCCAGTTGTAGGGGATCTGGTGCCCTCTTCTGGCCTCTGAAAGCACTGCACACATGGTGCACATACAGAAAAGCAGACACACATACATATACGTAAATACAAATTTTTATTATTTGTGTTTTTTTTGAAAGGGTCTCATTATGTAGCTCTGTCTATCCTGGAACTCCCTAAGTAGACCAGGCTGACCTAAGACTCACAGAGGTCCCTTCTGCCTCTGCCTCAGAGTGCTGGGATTAAAGGTGTGTGCCACCATGTCCAGTTGAGTATGTTTTTATTTTTAAGAAGTATTGTTGTGGTTTGAGTGAGAATGGCCCCCATAGGCTCACAGATTTAAATATTTGGTCACTAGGGAGTGGCACTATTTGAAAGGATTAGGAGTGTGGCCATGTTGGAGGAAGTGTGTCACTGTGGGTGGGCTTTGGGATTTCAAATGCTCAAGTCAGTCCCAGTGTCTCTCTCTTCCTGGTGCCTGTGGTTCCGGGTGTAGATCTCTCAGCTCCTTCTCCAGCACTGTGTCTGCCTGCATGCTGCCCATGCTTCTGGCCATAATGACAATGGACTGAACCTCTGAAACTGTAAGAAGCCCCAGTTAAATGTTTTCTCTTAGAAGATTTGCTGTGGTCATGGTGTCAAGTATCTAGAACACAGTTTCTTACTGATCTTCAGTTGAGCTATGGTGTTATCACCATTGGCACAGGGTGGTGGTTTTTGTTGTCATTGAGACAGCCTCTCCAGTCTGTTCCCAAGCTTCTGAGCTCAAGCTCAGCCTCTGGAGTACTTGCACAATAGGGTGTGCGACTGCACTTAGCCATCAGAGAAATTTCCCGAAGGACAGCTCCGTTTTCCACCCTTCTGGCGGTAACTAGAACATGTCTTCCTAGGGGCATCTGTGACAGGAAGGAGGAAAGCATGAGGCTCTTAGAAGGATCTGGAAGGAAGGGCTCTCTAGGGACCTTATCCTTGGCACAGGGCTGTCTGTGTGGGTTTAATAGCCACCGGGTGGCCTGTTTGACCCTGAGGTCAGAGTTTCCTGGGCTCTGGTGGTCTTTCTGTCTGAGCTGGGGGAGTTGACAGGAGGATCATGGAAAAAGGGGACTGCAGGCTGTCTGGATCCCTTCTCAGGTTCAATGCAGCTACACAGGAAAGGTCACAGCCTGTGTCAAGACCAGGCACCCTTCAGGGACTCTGGGGCTATTAAACTCTGGGGGTCTAGTCCTAACGGGTTCATAGGAGCAGAGCACCCAGGAAGGCGTCACAGTGGGTATCACCCAGGAAGGCGTCACAGTGGGTATCACCCAGGCAGCAACAGCAGGGACTTCCTCCCGCAAGGCTTCCATCCTGCCCGCAAGAGTAGTGACTGGGTGCCAATCAGACAGAAGCCTGGCCCTGCAGCCTGAGCCGGAGGCAAGCAGGGGCCAGCAGGGCTGACAGCTACAGGTCTCACCCTGGCATTGATGGGATCTGCACCTCACCCGGGCTTCCTCAGCTGACCTTGGCGCCCGCAGATTCTTTCACTTTCTCAGTAGCTCCAGGAACAGAACTAAGAGAAGTCAGACACAAAACAGCCAGAGTAAGAAAAGCAGAAGTGAGCGCTCGGAGACTGACCGTTCCCCACGGGACTGAACCGTGGAGGGTCCAGCCGGGGACTGGCCGCCAGGGACACCCGAGCGTGGAAGAGATGATCCGACTGGCCTCAGCTGTGTGGCTGCTGCTTTTCTGGCTTCCAGGTGAGGAGGCCATCTGCCCAGGAGGGTGGGAGGCCTCAGGGAGATGCCATGCGAGGTACCGGAGTCTGGATTCCTCTGTGCACAAAACTGAATGCGGCAGCTTCGTCCTCTGTGTAAGGTGGACAGCCAAAGGTCCACACTGCTCAGGGGGGAAGGGGCAGGATCCTGCTAAGCACCCAGCTCTCAGAACAAGGGACAAGTCATACACAGCGAGGGCTAGTGGCTGCCCAGGAGGGGTGCCAAGAGGAATTTTGGATGGGTTAGAATAGGAAACAGGGAGTCTGGTAGTGGTGGCGCACACCTTTAATCCCAGCACTCAGGAGGCCAACTCTGCAAGTTGGAGGCCAGCTTGGTCTACAGAGTGAGTTCCAGGACAGCCAGGACTATTACACAGTAAAACCCTATCTTGAAAAACCAAAAACCAAAAAAAAAAAAAAAAAAAAGGTCTCACTGTGTAATTCTGGAACTCTATGTAGACTAGGCTAGCCCTAAACTCACCAAGACTGCTCTCCTCTACCTCCCGAGTGTAAGGATTACAAACAAAGAAAGGTGAAGTGGATAACTTTTGGCAGGCCCTGCTGAAGGATGCAACTAAACAAACATGCTGCTTGCAGCAGAGTTAGTGCAAGAAGTTTATTGGGGGGGAGGGGGAAGGGAAGAGTGAAAGGCCGTGTTGGAGTGGAGTCATGAGGCAGGCAGGCAGGCGACAGACAGACAGACAGACAGACAGGCAGGCAGGCAGGCAGAGGACGGGGAAGAGGAGCAAGAGAGAAAAGGGGAGGCGAGAGCGAGGGCTGGTGGGTGCTTAAGGCTGTCTCAGGCCGCACAGCTGATGGCGGAGAGGCACCTGGGTGACAGCTGATGATGAAAGTGCTTTGGGGCAGATGCAGGGCTGCTGCCTCGGTGGAAACTAGCCCCAGAGTGCCGGGGTGAAAGGCGTGTACCACTGCGCCCCACACGCTACTTTTCTTTATTCTTTGAAAATACAGTGTAGTTTGGTCATATCCAACTCTCGCCCCTCCCTCAACCTCCCCCGAGTCTACCCCAGCTCCCTATTATTTCTTAACTAACCATTGAGTCCGATTAGCACTGCCTCTATGCATACAGGTGTGGTTTATCCACTGGGGCAGGGGCACCCTATAAACGGCCACCTCCCCCCCAAAGAAAAGGAATCTCTAATCCCTGCACTCTGGGGTCAGGCAGGCAGATCTCTGAGTTTGAACCTCATCTACGCAGTGAGTTGCAAGGCCAGCCAGGGCTGCATAGAAAAGCCTCGTCTCAAAAAGGACAAGGAAAAAAAAAAAAGCAAAATGAAACAAAATGTTCTGTTCTTGGCACATATTGGTCATTTGCATTTTCAAAAAAAATCAAAAAACAAACAAGCATTTGGTTCCTGTCTGAGTTTACACACCAATTTATAAAAGGACGAAAATCATCTTGGCTATTTTTCCTTTTATCTGCTTGGGTTTTCTTCTTCTTTTTCTTTCAGGATTTAAGGGGTTTTGAAAGCGCTGGGGCGGAGGTGGACGGTGGAAAGCTAGCCGCCTGCTGGGGGTGGGGGCGGGAGTGGGATGAGCAGGGGAAGCATCCTAGGGTCCTCCGTCTGTCCGTCCGTCCGCACGGGAAAGGCACAGGAGGGCTGGGAAACGGTGTTTACTAATGACGCTTCAGGACTGGCGTGGCTTTAGTGGGGAAAGTGGGCGCCTGAGTTTGGATCCCAACATCCATTTAAAAACTGCACGTGGTTTGTGTCTGCAGCCCCAGAGCTGGGGGTGCAGCGTCAAGCGGGACTTGATGTCTCCTCCTCGTCCCTGCAGGCTTCGTGCTCTTGAACACAAAGCTGCACACAAACACATATGCTCAAAGTTGAAAAGTAAAACGGGCGAGAGACGGCTCAGTGGTTGAGTGCACTGACTGCTCTTTTCGGGGACCCAGGTTTGGGTTATGGAACCCACATAGTGACTCACAACCTCCTGTAACTGGTTTCTGGGCACCTCACACCCTCTTCCGGCTTCCAGGGGCTCGTGCATGCATGTGTGGGGTGCATATAATCTTAAAAAACAGAACCTCAGAATCAGCAAGGTAAACCTAGGTTGAGAGAGCAAACCCTCCCAATTTCTGCCCATCCCCTTACCCCCTTCCTGGTCACAGGGTCATGAGCACATTGGGGGAGCAGGGCATACGTACAGCTGGCCTCTCTCCTGCTCTGGCTCATATTCCTGCAGTGGGACCACAGGGGGTGGCTATTCTCCCGGGTCCTGAGATGCCCAGGGCTGGCATGTTTGCAAACACGAGGCCCCCGTGTGTGGGAGAGACTGGGGGGTTAGGGTTGAAGGAAGGAGAAAGGCAGAAGGGAGGGGGCTGAGGGGTGATTGACAGATGGGAGGTGAGGGAATGGAGAGTGGAACTTTTGGGGACCTACACCCCATCCAGCTGTGAGGGTGCTGAACGTGGGTTTGTGTTTTCCAGGCTGTGTCCCTCTGCGTGGCCCCAGGAAGGTGGAAGGCACTGTGGGGGAGTCCCTGAGTGTGCAGTGTCAGTATGAGGAGAAATACAGGGCCAACAACAAATACTGGTGCCGAGTGTCCCTGATACGATATTGTCGAGATGTTGTCAAGACCAGAGCCTCAAGAGAAGCTAGGAATGGCCATGTATCCATCAGGGACGATCCAGCCAACCTCACCTTCACAGTGACCTTGGAGAACCTCATCCCGGAGGATGCAGGCACCTACATGTGTGGGGTGGATATACCATTCATCAATGGCTCCTGGTGGGAGATCACTCCCACCTTAGGGATTGATTCTTACTTCAGGGTTGAGGTGTCTGTGGTCCCAGGTAAGCACCCCGGTGGGTGAGTCCTCCTAATGAGCACTTTACCATGATAGCTACAAAGTGGCGGGAATTTCTGGGGCAGGAATCAGCCCAGGGCCTGAGATTACATTGTGTGTGGTGGGGGACGGACAGGGAGAGGGCATCAGTCATGGAGGCATCCTGGAGTAGCTGCATCATGGGGGGAGGTGCTGGTCCATCAGGGATGGGAGGCAGAGAGAGCAGAGTGTGTCTGTGTCCTGTGGAGTGACCCATGGAAGCTAGAATTCGTGGGTGTGTTGGGGGCCTGAGCAGAGGGTCAGTAGGGGACAGATGGTGACAGTGATGTGTGCAGAGGGACCCTCCGCTAGTGACAAGCCAGCTTTGCAGTTAGTTCTCTTTGGCAGCACGAGGCTGAGGCGGGAGGAGCAGATCTAGTGTGTGGTTCTGACTCAGGTGAGAGTTGGGGGTGGCGGCTATGCCGTGTGTGCAAATGATCAGCTGACCTAGGGGAGGCTCCATCCCGCTCCTTCCTTCAGTGTGAAATCAGCTCAAAAACAACCTGCTGTCAGCCGGTCAGGAGGGTGGTGCACGCCTGTGATCTTAGCACTCTGGAGGCAGATGCAGGAGGATCACAAGTTCACCACAGCCGGGGCTGTAAACTCCATATGGAAACCCTGCCTCACAAAACAAAGAAAAAAAGAAAAGGAAGAAGGATAGAGAAGGAAGGAAAAGAAGGGCAGGAAGGAAGGGAGGGAGGAAGGAAGGAAGGAAAGGAGGAAGGAAGGAAGCCATTGGTCAGTAGCAGAGGCTGAGGAGATTCCCTAGGTCTGATCTGTGGTTTTATCTCCAGGATCAGTATCGCAGACTCCTGCAATGACCACCAGCCTGGCAACCAGCCTGGCCCCCAGCCTGGCCCCTAGCCTGGCCCCCAGTCTGGCCCCCAGCCTGGCCACCAAGGGTCCCACCCGAGGGCCCACCATGAAGGAACACCATGAGCATTCTAAGCCCCAGGGCTTGAGGTGAGGTGCCCTAGTCCCTGATCTGAAGGTGGCCACCCCAGCCATGTGGTCCCCTCAGGAGAAGGGCTTCCAGAACTATGAGGGCTTGGGGTAAGAACCCTTGGTTCCTGACGTGAAGGTGGCGACCCTTCTCCTCAGATGGGGCTTTAGTAGGCACTACGACCATGTGCTGCTGCCATACCCTCTGGCTAGAACCTCCCGTGCCGTTGGCCTCCAGTCCGGGTAGGAGGCCACAGGTCATTGAGCACACTAGGCCTGCCGATGCCGACGACAGGGAGAGCTCAGGCTGAGGAGGACGGAAGGACAGGGTGCGACGGAAAGAGAGTAGCATGGACGGGTCTGGTGACATCCCCCCCAGGCACGGCTCAGCGCCTCATAGGATGGTCTCTTTCCTGCCTCGTGATGATCTTCATGTTACCACATCTTAGATATTCCCTATGACTGTGATAAAACGCCTTGACCAAGACACCTTATAATAGGAAGCATTTACTTGGGGCTCACACTTTCAGAGTTAGAGTCCATGATGGGAGCATGGCAGCAGGCAGGCAGGCATGGCTCTGGGGCAGTAGCCAAGAGCTCATGTCTTAAAAAGAATGATTTATTTATTCTTATTTTGTGTACATTGTTTTTTTTATTATTTTAATTTTAAATAGCTTGTTTTACATGTCAATCCCAGTTCCCTCTCCCTCCCCTCCTTCCGCACCCCCCCCACTATCCCCCCAGCCTCCCACCCTATTGCCATTTCTTCCACATAGGGGATATCCAGAGTCTGTCATTTCACTCAGGGCAGGGTCCAGGCACTCCCCCTAAGAGTCCAGGCTGAGAGAGCATCCCTCTTTGTGTTATGGACACATGATGTTTGTTTGTATGCCAGGGATAAACACTGATCCACTACCTAGGGCCCCATAGGTTGCCCAGGCCTCCTCACTGACTCTCGCATTCAGGGGGTCTGGATCAGTCCCATGCTGGCCTCCCAGCTGTTGGTCTGGGGTCTAAGAGTGTACATTGGTGTTTTTGCTTGCATGTATGTCTTTGTGAGGGTATCAGATCTTGGAGTTACAGGCAGTTGTGAGCTGCCCTGTGGTGCTGAGAATTGAACTCAGGTCCTCTGGAAGAGCAGCCAGTGCTCTTAGCCATTGAGCCATCTCTCAGAGAGAGCTAACTGGGAATGGTGTGGACTTTTGAAACTTCAAAGTCCATCCTCCAAGGACATATCTCTTCCAACAAGGCCACACCTCTTAATCCTTCCCAAATAGTTCCTCCAATTGGGGACCAGGTATTTAAATATATGAGCTTATGGGGGGCATTCTCATCCAAATTATCATACCATGCTGATTTTCAGATGACTAAACTGAGGCTCAGAGGGCTAAGTAATCTGCCTAGGCATACAGCCATTATAGATGACACAGAGCTGGGCACAGGCTTTCATGACTCCAAATTCTTGGGTTCCCCCCTCTAGACATTGGGGAGTCACCAACTGCATAGGGAAACTGAAGACAGGCTCTCCCCTTGTCACCAGCCTTTTCAAGTGTTCAGACTGTCCACTCTCTTCCCATTGGGATCCGATAGGCTAAGGCTCTGACTACCTGCACTTCTAACTTCTAGCTATAAATGTCGAGGCTCCCATGATCCTCTTGGGTTCAGGAGCTCACTAGAGTCTTCGCCGATGGAAATGGTTTTATCATAAGAGATAAAGATTATGAGGAGACAAATGAAGAGACAGCCAGGCCAGACTGGGAGAATCCCAAGAAGTGTCCTAGTACATTCTATCTGAGGCAGGGTCAGGGTGCATCACCCCCGGGAGGGGGGGAGGGCTTCCGTGTGTCTCCACCAAGAGCTCCCCCATCTCCTTCTCAGGGTTTTTACTGGGGTCTCATGAAGTAGGCACCACGGCTGAATCGCCCCCTCCAGTCTCCCTCCTCCCTCCCCCCTGCTCCCCGCTGGTGGGACCCCTGTCATGTTTCCGACCCCGCATTGGTTCCTGGTGAGCAGCCTCATTCTGGCATCCCATTTTTAGCTATATGCAGGCACATCTAGACTTTTGACATTGTGACACAATGTTGTCATCTATAAAGTTCACACCCAAGAGCCATGCAATCAAGTTACGAAAACATCGGGGGGGAAATCCAACCACCCCACCTCACCATATTTTAAGTAAATTGACAATTTGGTATTTGGGCTGTATTTACCACCATGCAAAAGCAGGAGGTCCGTAGACAGAGACCTGGACACTTCTATAAGCGCCACTCCAACGCTCACAATCAACAAAGGTGCTCCTGTTAGCAATCTCCCCAGCAACAGGCAGGGGTGTTCCATCGTGGACACTGTTGACACGATGCCACGGTCTACAGAGGTGTTGGCCACACCCGAAGCTATCCTGGGACAGGTGTGGCCTCTCTCCAGGGCCCAGGTTCTCTCCTTACTACTCCACGCCTGGAAACCTTTCTAAATATGATGCCAGACAAGTCAAAATGCAGTCCCCAAGCATGCTGCTTCTGGAGGTTAACCTGCAGATGTTGAAGGCAGGCAGAGACCTGCTTTGTTGGGTCCAAAAGAAGCCGTGTGTGTGTGTGTGTGTGTGTGTGTGTGTGTGTGTGTGTGTGTTTGAGATAAGGTCTGACTACATAGCCTTGGTTAGCCCAGAGCTCTCCATGTAGATCAGGCTGGCCTTGAAAGATCCACTCACCTCTGCCTCCTGAGCACTGGGATTTAAATTGTGGATCAGCACTCCCAGCGTCATAAGATCGTATTGTTATTGTTATTATGGTGTGTGAGTGTGTGTACATATGTGTACAACTTTCAGGAGTCAGCTCTGGGGCTCGAACTCATGACCCGGGGCTTGAATTGCAAGTGCTTTTACCCCTGAGTCATCTCACTGATTTCTTTTTTAAAAACATCGACTTTATGTGTCTGTTTTAAAAGTCAGGAGCTGGTGATGACACCAGGGCTGGGTAGAGCACTAGGCTAGCATGCATGAGGCCCTGGGTTCGATTCCCAGCACTGAATAACTAACTCCCTCCCCTTAAAGCCTCCCGGTGCTGCTGTCCGTGTTAGCTCTGCTGCTGTTTCTCCTGGTGGGGACCTCTCTGCTGGCCTGGAGGATGTTCCAGCAGCGTCAGGTCAAAGGTGAGCTAACTTCCTGTGTCCTTCTGTCCCTTCTCCAGGGTGGATGGGTTCTGTCCCTTCTCCAGGGTGGATGGGTTCTGTCCCTTCTCCAGGGTGGATGGGTTCTGTCCCTTCTCCAGGGTGGATGGGTTCTGTCTCTTCTCCAGGGTGGATGGGTTCTGTCCCTTCTCCAGGGTAGATGGATTCTGTCCCTTCTCCAGGGTGGATGGGTTCTGTCCCTTCTCCAGGGTAGATGGGTTCTGTCCCTTCTCCAGGGTGGATGGGTTCTGTCCCTTCTCCAGGGTGGACGGGTTCTGTCCCTTCTCCAGGGTGGATGGGTTCTGTCCCTTCTCCAGGGTGGATGGGGGGTTCTGTCCCTTCTCCAGGGTGGATGGGTTCTGTCCCTTCTCCAGGGTGGACGGGTTCTGGCCATCGTCTTATATCTTCTGTGCTCCTTCCCCACACTAAGCACTGGCCCTCACGGCACACACTCAACATGTCCCTAGAGGGAGGGCCCCCGGGGTGTCCCTGGGTGTAGTGGTTACACACCTGGAGAGATAGCTCCCCAGAGGCCTTTCTTCTGGGCCCTGAGTGGTTGGGTGGGGCGCAGTGTCTTCTTCCGTTTGAAAACTTTAGTGGCCTCCCACACAACTGTCTCTGAAGGGTTGCTCGGCCTCCATGGTGCACCCTGCCAGCCCCCTCTCCCCAGCTTCTTACGACTTTTGTTTGTGAGACAGACAGGCACCTCAGCCTCTCTCTTCTCTGCTGGGCTTACTCTGCATGCTGAAAGCACCTCCGCTGGCCTTCCCTGGCTTAATCCTGAATCTCCAAGCACTGCCCTCAGATTTCCTATCCTCAGACTTTTCCCGTGAAGGTTTGAGGCCCTCCTGGGTGTCCCCCTGGACCTTGGCTGTCATAGCTCTTTTTGTACTAGATGGTTCTCACCAGGCATCCCTTGGCTGCCACCTCATGTAGCCTGTGCACTGCTTCAGGCCTGGGCTGTGGCTGGAGAAGGTCCCCAGTCACCATTGGGTTTCATGTTGAACGGTTAGTTACACAGGCACCTGAAGTCCCACCCTCCCCAAGTTCAGATTGACAGACAGGACTTGCACAGGGTGTGTCAGCAAACTTGCTCCCAACAAATCCAGAAGCGTGAGTAAGCTCTAGGACGAAGGGAAAGGGTCAGGCCTCTTCCAGGGGAGCTGCTAGTCCCCTTCCTGTGCTGAGACTTATGATCCTATGAGCAAACGGCCCTCAGGGACATCTTTGTGTTCCTGAAGCCTTTTGAGACTTCACTGAGGATGTGGTAGCAGAAATGAGGCCACTCTGTCCTACAGCTGTTGTCAGGGCTTCTGTATGCACAGGGACTCCAGACCTCAGCCTCTCCTCGGGCTGCTCCTGGAGGCTGCCCATGGGGCAGCAGCCACCTCACAGCATAGGGGCACAATGGGAGAGCGCTTTCTCTTTCCAGTTGGACTCTGTCTCTTTCTGTCTGTGTCAGAAGTCAGGGTTTCTCTGTGTAGCCGTGGCTGTCCTGGAACTCGCTCTGTAGACCAGGCTGGCCTCAAACCACCCGCCTCCACCTCCTGAGTGCTGGGATTTAAGGTGTGCACCACTACTGTCTGGATCTCCAGTCTCTGTAACAAGAAAAATAAAAGAACCAGAGACAGATATTGGGGTTCAGGCTTCAAGCTGAAGATCAGAAAAGCAGAGCAGTCAGCCACTAGCTCTCACCTCTACCTCAGCTCAGACCAAAGGGGCGATCCTCAGACTGTTCCCGACTTCACTGCTCCTCAGATTCACTCAGACTGCTGTGCTCTTCTTAATGTGACTAGAGACTCTCAGACTGAATGCCTCTACCTTTTACACCTCTCAAATCCTGGGATTGAAGGTGTGAGCTCCAATTCACTCTCCAGTAGCCCAGGGTGGTCTTGAGCTCAGAGATCCATCTGCCTTTCTCCGGAGTCCTTGGGATTAAAGGTGTGTATCACCACCTCCTGGCTTCTATAGCTAACTAGTGTGGCTGGCTTTGCTTTCTGTACCCTCAGAGGCAAGCTTCAATAAATCATAAATAATATCTCACCCCAGGGGCCTCCTCCGGAGCTGCAGCTGTCATGTGGTCCACTAACCGCATGGGACTTTCCCAACCTGGACAGCTCCAGCTCTGCAGGTCCCAGAGCACTCACTTGGTGCCCTTTCACCCAGAAACGCGCAGCCCCACGGGTCGCTTCCCCTTTGTGAAAGATACGCAACTCTGTGTGCGCGACCCGTGTTGGTTCATGTAATCGTTGCACTTGGGGACGGAGGCAACAGGACTGCAGTGAGTTCAAGGCCAGCTGGGAATAGGTAGAGAAGACTCTGCCCCAAACAACAAAACAAAAAAGACAGGGGGAGGGGAGGATTGCTATAGAAAACTTGAAAAATAGGTGAAAGCAACAGAGGAGAAAACAAAATTATCTGAGGTGCATGGTAAGTCAAAATCCTGTCTCCCAGAAGACCAGCCACTGTAGTAGGGGTGTGTGAGTTCCTTCCAGTCTTTTATCTCTGCCTATGTGATTTCTTTAAAATCTACCCCCCCACCAAATAAAAAGAAGAAAAAGAAAATGGAGAGAAAAAATATTTATGGGCGGGGCAGTGGTGGCACATGCCTTTAATGCCAGCACTCAGGAGGCAGAAGTGTCACGACCACCTCGACCAGCAAGGAAGACGCACTCAGGAATCCTTCTCACAAGAGGTTTATTCAGGACCTTGATGAACAACGTGGAGGCAGCCACGGGAGAAACCCCTCCTGCTCCCTAAATAGCCGAGGCCAGCCAACCCTGAGCAGCCACGTGTGCGCAAGCCATAGGCTCACCAGAATGCATAAGCAATCTGATGATGATGGCGTGACCCCAGCGGGATGGGAGCAGGCCAAATAAGGAGTTGTTTATTACCGAGCGCACTCACCGTCGGGATGGTGGAATGCGGAAGCCGGCGCCATCTTTGAGGCGCGGTGTGGTGCAGCTCTCCACACAGAAGCAGGCGGATCTCTGTGAGTTCTAGGCCAGCCTGGTCTACAGAGCCAGTTCCAGGGCAGGCTCCAAAGTTACAGAGAAACCTTGTCTGAAAAAACCAAAAAGGAGAAAAAAAATCCATGTTTTAATTATGTGTATATGTGTGTTGGAGGGCGGTTGTGTGTGTGTGTGTGTGTGTGTGTGTGTGTGTGTGTGTGTCTCTGTGTGTCTGTTTCTGTGTATCTGTGTATGATGGGTCTGGAACCCTTGGAGGTCAAAAGTGAGCACTCATTCCTCAGAACTGGAGTTACAGGCAGTTTTCAGTTGACCAATGTGGGCCTTGGGAACTGAACTCAAGTCCCCTGCAAGAGCAGCCAGTGCTCTTAACCTCCGAGCCATCTCTCCAGGCCTGTACCATCAACACTTGGGAGACTGAGGCAGGAGGATTAGGAGAGTTTGAGAACAACCTGGTCAGCATAGCAACAGTCCCCTCCCCCCCAAAGAAAAACAAAACAAAGCAAAGCAAAAACTTCACACCATTTAAACTGTAATTTTACACTTAACATAGTACAGCATCTCCACTACTGTGGAATGTTCTAGAAACCCCAGCTCTATGCCTGAAATTTCATAGCATAGCGCTCCCCTCCTCCCTGCCTGCCTTTGTCTGTAGTCTCACCTCCTCATCTTTCTATCTGCAGCTGACAAGGACCCAGAGCTGTCCCGGAACCTCAGGCAGGTAAGGGAGCTACATCAGGGGGTGAGCCAGGGTGGCTGGGTGGGGAGGGGCAAAAGGAGGCTGTCAGGGAGTCCCTGGGCTGGTAGAAGTGGCAGGCAGGTCTATTACAGGCGGATGGAATTGTTCTAGAACAGGAGAACAGCACCCAGAGATCTAGTGATCAGCTCTTGTCCCACGGGCTGAAGAGTCCGCTCCCCTCTGGCCAGGGCAGTGGACTTGGACGAAGGCGGACCCTAGAGAGAACAGGGTGAGGGAGGAGGAAGAATGGGAAGACCAGGGCTGACACAGAGCGCGGTGGGCAGGCGGGAGGGAGAGGAGCAGGGCCGGGCGTGGAAGGGAGGACTCCATGGATGGAAGACACTTGGCCTTGCACAGGCTGCTGAGCCAAGGGAGTCCCAGTACGTGAATCTCCAGCTGCACGCATGGCCCCTGGGGGAGGAGCCGGCGCCACCGAGCCAGGTGGAGGCAGAGTACAGCATGGTGGTGAGTCTGAGAGCCTGGCTCCCTTAGCATGAGGGTCTGGGCCGCCGAGGGTACCACACAGAGGTGGGGGAGGACGGAGAGGGAACGGGCACGGGCTCAGGGCGGCAGGATAGGAACGGGGAGAGTGGAGACCCTTGGCGGGGGGGCGTTGGCGAGGGGGGGCATGTGTCACTGTAGCTAGGAGCAGGGAGTAGGATTACAGGGTTGACAGTCAACAAGTGAGAGCCTGCTGTGTCTCCTTAGTTTGGTTCCCTCACCTCTTCTTTAGAGGTGTGGTCAAGCCTCAGACTCCACTACCTTCAAACAGGAGAATGGGGCAGGGGGCCTCCTTGGGTGTGACCTGCCATGTCACAGGCCAGGTCAAACAGAAGCTGAGAGAGAGCGAGAGATAAACATCAAAGGCTTTCTAAGGAAACCCCCTCCCAGGCTCAGAGCCCAGGGAACCCTCCTCAGGTGCCCCGAGGGATGTCATGGCTTGGTGGCAGAGATGGGTGACATACACTTACCTGGAAAAGCGGCTCATCTCCCTGAATGCCTCCACTGGCCCCATTCAACCCAGGCTGCTGACCCCGCCCCATGAGGGGAATAAGGAGGGGTTCAGTCCCACATCCTTTCTGGATCCCCCAAGCTATGACTTCCCCTCACGTGTGCCAGTGGCTTTTTTTTTTTAATGATTCAGTTAGTTTTATTTTACATGCATTGGTGTTTTGTCTGAGTCTGTAACTGGAGTTACAGACAGTTGTGAGCTGACATATGGGTGCTGGGAGTTGAACCCAGGTCTTCTGGAAGAGCAGCCAGGGCTCTCAACCGCCGATCCATCTCTCCAGGCCTATGCCGGTGTCTTTTGAGAATGAGGTGTGGGCAGGGACCTTGATGTCCTCATTTTAAGCAGCTGACTATCTCTAGTTCCTCAGGTGGTGCCATGTATCTGCAAGGTCCATTCCTTCACCAAGTGACACGTTCTCAGTCCCAGCTATGGGACTGGCAAAGGTCTGGTATTGTCAGCAGAAGTTTCTGTCCCACCAGCCAGCTACCAAATAACCACACAGAGACTATTAATAATAAATGCTGGGTTGATAGCTCAGGCTTGCTACTAAGTAGCTCTTACAACTTAAAATAGCCCACATTTTTTTAAAATGAGAAACCATCTTGCATGGTTCTTTTTCTTTTTCAGATTATTTATTGTGTATATAGTATTCTGTCTGCATGTATGCCTGCAGACCAGAAGAGGGCGCCAGATTTCATTACAGATGGTTGTGAGCCACCATGTGGTTGCTGGGAATTGAACTGAGAACCTCTATAAGAGCAGCCAGTGCTCTTAACCGCTGAGCCATCTCTCCAGCCCTGTATTTATTATCTTACACGCTGTCACAGGACTCATGGCTTGTTATCTCATTTTCTATACATCCTGCTCCCTCTGCACCTGGCTGGCCACTCCCTATGACTCCACCCTCTTTCTTCTCAGCATTCTCTCAGTCTGGCTTTCCCGCCTAACCTCTTCTTGCCTAGCTATCGGCCAGTCAGCTCTTTATTAAACCAATGAAAACAACACATCTTCACAATGTACAAAGGGGTTATTCCATAGCCTGGCATCGCCTGGTAGCTAATGGTTGCAAAATGGGTTGGAAGCTAATTTCCTTTTCCCCCTGGGACAAGTAAGCCTGTGACCAAGCAGAGCCAGTAAACCTTAGAACTGTTGTGCCAGCCGGGCGGTGGTGGCACATGCCTTTAATCCCAGCACTTGGGAGGAAGAGGCAGGCAGATCTCTGTGAGTTCGAGTCCAGCCTGGTCTACAAGAGCTAGTTCCAGGATAGCCTCCAAAGCCACAGAGAAACCCTGTCTCAAAAAACCAGAAAGCAAAACAAAACAACAACAACAAAAAGCCTATTGTACCATTGTGGCTACCTCTGCTGGCCACGATATGCCCAGCATGGGGACTTCTCGCTGTGGCTTGACCAGGTTGGTGGGCCAGTGAGTCCAGTTCTAGGCAGTTGAGGGGGGGTATGTGTACTCTTCTTCTCTGAGTCTGGGGTCTCTCCCCACAGATGCTCCCCAAGGAAGATCTTCACTACGCATCTGTGGCCTTTGACTCACAGAGGCAGGGTTCTCAAGCCAACGGGAATTCCCCCTTGCCTGCCTCAGAACCAGGAAGCAGAGTACAGCGAGGTCCGGAAGCCCCGGAAAGGCCTCTCTGACCCTCACCTGTGACTCCCTGTCAACCGATCCCCTCAGTGGTGAGCTCCCAGCAGGCTGCTGCCTTCAAAGTCCTGGGCCTTGCTGGCTTCACTCAAGATGAGCATGAACCAAGGCTCCATGGGGACAGAGGCCTGTCCCACTGGCTCTCTCCTCTTAGCCTGCATTTTATTCCGCCTCGGTGTAGAAGGTGTAGCTGCTGCATCCCGTGGGGCTTTGGGAAGTGACATGGTTCATACAGAATGGCACCGGTGTTAGCTTTGTAGCATCCGCCCGGCAGGAACATCGGTGATCTCTGTGAGAACCAAAGGACCCATGAGGGTACGAAGGATGGGGAGTCGTGGAGGCACAAAACACCAGCTCCCCCATCCCACAGAGACCTGAAGCCAAGCTCTGAGGAGCGGAGCCTAGCCCTTGGCTCCAAGGCCGGGGGCGAGTTTCTCTGGACTCTCAGGTAAAAGATGAAAAAAAGTTTAAAATGTCTTCCTAAAGGGAGAAGAAGAAAATGACTTAAATGATGCCTGCTCTCTGCCGGTAGCCCCATATTAAAGCCCAGTTTTGAAATCAGAGGAGCTTTGGGGTACAAGGGCTTGAGAAGTATGTGTCACCACTGCATTGGAGAGGGTTAGTTGTAACCGCTGTCCCCGATGGAACACACAACAGGGTAATTCAAACTTGAATCCAGGGGGCACTGCGAGTGTTTCCAGCCTGCAGCAGCCACCGACGGCTTGAAAACCGTATCTGACACAGTGATTTTTTTCTTATAATCCTTCACGTTGTCCCAGAAGCAACTTCAAGGGTAAGTCATCTCCTAAGAATGGGGAGATGATGGTTATTCGTGACTTCTTCGGGTTTTGTTTTTTATAAAGACAGGGTCTTTCATAGCCCAGGCTAGCCTTGAACTTGCTGTGTTCAACTTCTGACCTTCCCGCCTTTATGTATGTGGTGTGTACCACCGTACCTGATATTTGCAGTGCTGGGGAATCTAAACCTAGGGCATCCCACGTGAGAGTCCTCCCCAGCCTGGATGCTTTAGATTTCGGTTCATCATGCACCCCGCCCCACACGTGTGTGTGAGCATGTGGCAAGCAACCCGTGAGTCATCCCAGATACTTCCCTTGCTGCTTTTTTTTTTTTTTTTTTTTTTTTAGTTTTTTGAGACAGGGTTTCTCTGTCTTGTTTTGGAGGCTGTCCTGGAACTGGCTCTGTAGACCAGGCTGGCCTGGAACTCACAGAGATCCGCCTGCCTCTGCCTCCCAAGTGCTGGGATTAAAGGCATGCGCCACCAACGCCCGGCTTTTCCCTTGCTTCTTGCACTAATGTTCTGCGACACTAAAGGGGAAGAGGCAGACATACAAAGATGGATGCGAAACCCAAAGCGGGGCCCCCAGTGTTGGGGACGTCTCGGGGAGGGGCCCTAGGGTCTGTGGTGCTCACTAGTGCGCTCTCAGCTCTGCCCCAGACCTCAGCCCCAAACCTACCAATGGCTCTTTCCACTTGAAAGGGCAGCGGGCCCTGGATTGTGCAGATGGGACTCAAGAGCCTTCAGAGGGAAGTGGGGAGGCTGCGGCCAAAAACAGAGTGCCAGGCCCACAAACAGCCCTAACCTAGACGGCAAACAAGGAGGGGCCGGCCGGGAGAGGAGAGCCCCGCTTCCTGTGTGAGCCACTCATTGTGGGAAGACCAAGTGCCAAGTGTCCAGGCAGAGGCAGCTTCCTCCTCCTAAGGGCGTGTCTCTCCCTTCATTCTCTTCTCCTTCTCCCCTGTCTTCTGTCCTTGTTGCCTGGTGCAGGTCAGCCCAAAGGGATTTCATTCATTCACCCACTCACTCATTCGTTTGCCCATTCATTCATCCAAGCATCCACTCACCCATTCACCCACTCACTCATTTATTCAACCACGCGTTCACTTAATAGATTTCCAGTCTCTCACTGCAGAGCATTCAGGGACCTGCGCCATGACAGGCAGAAGGCTGGACACCAGGAAGCACAGGACAAAGCCCCCGCCCCACATGGACTTTTGGGTTTACAGGGATGTGGACATGGTCCTTCTCCACTCACCTCCCTTCTTCAGGGCTGTGGACAGTGGAGGAGTCTTCAGGTCTGGTCCTCTGTAAACAGATGTCGCAGAGGACAATTCCCTGTTATAGAACAGAAAAGCTGCAGGGTGGTGGTGGCGCACACCTTTAATCCCAGCACTCGGGAGGCAGAGGCAGGTGGATCTCTGTGAGTTCCAGACCAGCCTGGTCTACAGAGTGAGTTCCAGGACAGCCAGAGTTGTTACACAGAGAAACCCTGTCTTGTAAAACCAAAACCATAAAAGCCAGATGCTTCAAATTAATATTGAAGAGTGGCTGTCACGGCTGCCGAGGAGGCTCAGGGGGTAAAAGAGCTTGTCACACAAGTGTGAGGACCCGAGTTCGATCCCCAGAGCCACACGAGTCTGGCAACCTGAGTTTGGTCCCTAGAACTCTTGTAAAGGTGGAAAGAGAGTACTTACTCCACAAAGTTGTCCTCTGACCTCCATACCATGGCACACGAGTGCCGCCCACCTCCCCCAAATAGTGATAATTTCAATTGTAAAAAAACATTTTAAAGGGTAGGATGTATGCCAAGAGAGCCTGTAACCCCAGCCCTGCCTCAGCAACGCAGGAGGTGGAAACAGGACCCCAAAGCTTGGAGGCCAGCTAGCCTGGCATGCGGCAGTGCGAGCCGCAGAGAGACCACATCTCAAACAGCGTGGAAGCTGAGGACTCACACCTGAGACTGTCCTCTGACCATCACATGTGAGCCTGCACGCGCACGTATGAACACACTCAAAGTGGCCATCGGGCTCGACAGGCCCCGTTAGGTCAAAAGCTAAGGTGATGGATTCCACGTCTTCTTTAGCCTGGGCTTGGAGTGAGTGAAGCAGGAGATGGAGGCAGGCGGGATGGCCTTTATCTCACACCCCACGGGAAAGCATGTTCTCCACTGAGGACAGGAACCCGGGGTCCAGTCAGGAACCTCGGCAGTGCCGCCTGTCATGTCCTTTTCCTGGGGAGATGTGAGCTCAGAGAGGGCTCAGCCCAAAGAAACAATGCACCCCAGTCCAGCTTGATGAACCAATGAGCTTGCTGGGTTTCCTTACAGAAGCTGGGGTGAAAAGGTTACAGCTGCATCAATCCAAGTCCCACTCCAGGGTAGGCACGGGTCTCCCCCAAATCTCTCTATATGGGATTCCCCCACTTCAGCTATGTTTCCATCTCCTATGTACTCCAGCCCCTCCCCACATGCAGTTGGGAAGAACTAGGCAAAGGCAGGAAGGGGAGCCCGCAGGAGGGAGGGGCTGGGATCCCAGGTGAGGGACTGATGGGGATGCTTGGAAGGACGTCTCATGAGTGTGGGTAATGATGGCTGCTGTGCTTTCAAGATGGTGGTGGCTGTGTCATGTCTGGGACAATGTTCCCCAACATCTCTGAGGAGTACTGTGTGTGTGTGTGTGTGTGTGTGTGTGTGTGTGTGTGTGTGTGTGTGTGTGTGTGTGTGAAGATCCAAGGGCAGCTTGGTAGGAGTCAGTTCTCTGCTTCCAACATGGGAGTTTCAGGGGTTGACTTCACTGCCAGGCTTGGCAGCAAGTGCCCTTAGCCACAGAGCCATCTCATCTCATTGGCCCAACAGACCTATTTTTTTTTTGAGTGACAGTGTAGCCCTGGAACTCACCCTGTAGACCAGGCTGGCCTCAAACTCAAAGGTCTACCTACCTCTGCCTCCTGAATGTGGGGACTAAGGTGTGTACCACCACACCTGGCTCCCAACATACCTGTTCTTGAGATAACTCACTTATCCAGTAATCTTTGTCCTAATCCCCTACCCACTTTCTCTCCACAGACCTGGTAACTCAACCCAGGGCCTCAAGGATGCTTGCCAGGCACCCTGCCATTCAGCTCTGTCCCCAATCCTCTCTTTAATGTTTTATTTAGAGACCAGGTCTTTCTTGCTAAATTGCCCAGGTTGGTCTTGAACTCACTCTGTAACTCAAGGCAGGTCTTGAATTTGCCCCCAGCTTCTTTAGTAGCTGGCATTACAGGTCTAGGCCCAGGACTATCACGCTTCAAGGCCCCACCTCGTTCTACTGCACAGCAAAGGGTTAAAATTCAGCATCTGTTCTGAGGGGCTTGCCCGAGTGGAGGCATCTATGAAGAAGATCACTGTGTGTGTTTACTTGATGACAAGTAGCGGTCACCAAAGACTCTTCCCAAGCCACAGCTCTGCGCAAAAGTCATGATGACCTTGCACAAAGAACCACAGCTTTGCAGCGAGGCCGCCCTTCCGTGGCCTCTGCTCAGAAGCTGCCTGCGCAGCCTCAGTGGAGGGCCACGGCTTCAGCACGGCTTCTGTAATCTCCTCCACCTTCCTCTTGACCCCCTGCCTTCCTTTCCTCTCTCGCTCTATGGCGCCTCGCGCGCTCTGTAGCACACGTGTGCCCGTCTGCCGCACCACAACGTCCTCAGAGCCAATGAGTTCTTGCCTCAGGTGCTCAGCTTGGCTCAACGCCGCCCGCCCGCTGTATCTTATATTATGCAAGCGGAGACACCTCCGACCCCCACACCCCCACCCCTCCCCCGCCCAGGGAGGGCGTGCAGGGCTAGTTTTACGGCAGCTTGACGCAAACTGGAGTCATTGGGAAGAGGGAACTTCAATTGAGAAGATGCTCCCACCGGACTGGCCTGTGCACATTGTCTTGATTGGCGATGGATATGGGAAGGCTGGGCTCACTCTGTGTGGTACCACCCCTGAGCTGCTGCTGGTCCTGGGTTCCATAAGAAAACAAACTGAGAAAGCCCCGAGGAGCAAGCCAGCAGCCAGCACTTCTCTCTCCATGGCCTCTTCATCCGCTCCAGCCTCTGGCTCCCGGCTCAGAAATCCTGTTGGGACTTCCCTCAGTGATAGTCTGGGATGTGGAAGTGGAAGTGGGAATAAACTGTTGTCTCCCAAAGTTGCTTTTGTCCCTGGTGTTTTACCACAGCAACAGAAAGCCTGGCTGGAACAGAGGGGATTTGGAGTGTCCCTCTCTGCCCAGGCTGCCTGCCAATTGCAGCGGACAGAACACCCAGCTGCAAAGATGTCCTTGTCTCCGTCTGCAGAACCTGTGGATATACCTTAGTTAAAAAGCACTTTGCTTAAGGTGGTGGCGTATAGATTTTAAGTGACACTCTCTCTGTCCCTCTGTCTTTGTCTGTCTGTCTGTCTGTCTGTCTGTCTGTCTGTCTCTCTCTCTCTCTCTGTGTATGTGATGAGTCTGAAATATCAAGGTAATTTAATTGTATGTAAGAGACTAAAAAGAGGGCCAGCATTAGTTAGCGCTGTTAACCAAAGCTGGCAGAGAGAGAGAGACACACACACACAGAGAGAGACAGACAGAGAGAGAGAGAGAGAGAGAGAGAGAGAGAGAGAGAGAGAGAGAGAGAGAGGAGGAGGACACAGGAGATGTAAAGTTGTGAAGATGGATGTAGGTGCCATGAATCAAAGAATTCAGGGGACCTCTGGCAATAGGAAAAGGTAAGTGAGGGGCTCCCCCTAGAGGCC